TGCGGCGCTACCTGCGCGGGGAGGAGGCGCGGCTGCGGGACCTGACCAGGTAGGCGCGGGCACTGCGGGGTGGCAGCTCGCCCAGGGGCGCCGCGGGGAGGCGCGAGGGTGCGGGGCGAAGGGCACTCACTGTTCTAGGCAAATAGAACCTAGCCCGACGCTCCAGGCGATGGAGTCTTGGCATCTTGATGGTTAATTAGAGATGTTTCTCACCGGATGTGTTTTCCGCTCTTTCTTTTCCGTACATGTGAAAGCTCTCTAATTACTACATAAACAGTCCCTAAGCTATGTGGGTGAAAGTATGTCACACCAAGGTCGCACCGTGAAGATTCTGAGGGTTGCACGCACAGGCAAATGCACAGCTAGTATTGCCTTGCTACGAATCAACAAAGTAGTACTGCCCACTGTAAAATCTATTGTAAGGCTTAAGACACTGGGACAGTCATCAGGAAATGATTCGTGGTCCATGAACGGTTGTATGTGATTCCACATGTAAGGCTTTGTGCTGTGCTTTCTCTCCTTGGGACATTAAGAAGCCCAAAGCCGTGTAAGAAGCAGTGGTTGTGACTATGTTGTTCTTTGAACATATTGAAATTGTACTTTATGTCATATATCTAGCGGAGACTTTAAGGGAGTATAAGACAGCAATTCTAACTCTGGGTGACATGGGAGGAAGGTGTGTGGACACTGTCCGAGTTCATGAAGACAATCTGTGTGGAAGTGTGTGTGTGACATCTCGCCTTTGTCACAGTGGCAGATCTTGTACCAATTTTATCTTAATTCTCTCTAGCCATCTCCCCAAAAGTTTGTATTATAGTCTTAACAAGTGAGAAATCATTTAAAACATGAGAAAGCTAAAGTCCAGTAGTTTATCCAAGATTACAAATGTAGGAGCTAACAAATCCAAGACTAGGGCATGTTGTCTTGATTACTCATCCCACATTCTTTCTATTAAGCTGTGATGTCTCTTCTGTTTGCTTTATCTGATGTGCCAGGACACAGACAAAACTGTGTTTTGTTAGTGGCCAGAGTTCATGGTGTTTGAGAGCATGGATTCAGGAGTTCTTCAGGCCTCTATTTGAATACTTGGCTGTACCCTTGGGCACTTTTCTTTACCTCTTTAAACTTTACTTCCCTAATTTATAAAAATCTAATAAAAGTAGTTTTTATTCTCATGGGGTTTTTGGGCAGACTGAGTACCAAATAAAAGTATTTATCATTATGCTTGGCATGTAGTAATTGTTCAACACATGTTAACTATCATTATTACTGTTTAAGGGAGATTGGTACTAGTCTTCACTATTGGCTCAAAACATTAACAAGGATTCCAAGAGCCCAGCTGTAAAGAATGTGACATGCCCAGGTGTGGTGGCTCACATCTATAAAATCCTAGCTACTCAGGAGACTGAGATCTGAGAATTGAAGCTCAATGTCAGCCCAGGCAAACAAAACAGGGCTCTTATCTCCAAATAACCAGCAAAAATCAAGAACTGAAAGCATGGCTTCAGTGGTAGAGCACTAACCCTGGCCAAAAAAGCTAAATAAGAACTCAAGGCTTGAAATTCAAGCCTCAGAACCATCAAAAAGAAGGAGAAAAAGGAAGAGGAGGAGGAGGAAAAAGAGGAGAAGGAAAAGGAGGAGGAACAAGAAGAAGAGATAATAAATTCTAGATTCTTTTCTCAGGTGATTTATAAATACTGAACTTTGTAAAAATATAGCCTGATGCTTTGGAGACTATGATTCTGTTCCCAAGTCATGCTCTAAAACTCAGTGGAATGTCTGCTTTTTAAACAGGAGGTTTGGTGGTTTCTGTTCACTTTTCCATATTCTTAATCTTATGTAATTTGAGATGTTATTTCTCAGTCCCTCACTTTATTTTCTTTGAATTTCTAAATAAGGAAGTTTTTTTTTTTTTTGGTGGTTGAGGTTACCTCTTACTTCAAGGTAATGAATAAAATTTATGGTAGTTTCTATCATTACAACCTAGTATACATAGTTCATATACCAATTGTGCATAGATAGTTAACCTCTAGCTTTCTTTGTTGTTGTAATTTAAATATTATAAAGAGTAGAATTTGCAGCAATTATTTCTGGGTTAAGAAGTAAGCATTCAGACTATCTCGGAAGGACTGAGACGAAGCCAAAACATTTTGAAATGACACGGCCCATGAATTGTGGTTGGATAGCCTACCCAGACTATGTTGAATGCAAGGATTGGGTTGCAAATTTTATGTGCAGATTCTTGAAAGAAAGAACCTAATTTTCCACTCTCAGCCCATTCTTTAAAGCACAGAGCCATTTAGGAACCCTGAAGTTTGACTTTGGCATCCTGTAACTCAGTCTCTGGAAACTAGCTTGTTGCTGAGAGACTGGGCATGTGTCCAACTTCAGATTCCAAACCAGCCTCAGATATCAATTGATAGATTCCTCCACCCTTTTTCTCGGTGGGACAGGAAAAAATGCCATATTTGTTTAAATATGGATTGGATTGGATTGTAGAGATCAAACCCTTGGGTTAACCAAATGAACCTCAAAATGCACAGTGGGGTATAATGACAAGACTTTTAATTTGGTAGATTTTTTTTTTTTTTGGTTGGTCCTGGGCCTGAACTCTCGGCCTGGGCACTGTTCCTCAGCTCTTCAGCTCAAGGCTAGCGCTCTACCACTTGAGCCACAGCGCCACTCCCAGCCTTTTCTGCTTATGTGGTGCTGAGGAATTGAACCCAGGGCCTCATGCATGCAGGGCAAGCACCCTACCACTGAGCCACCTTCCCAGCTTAATTTGGTAGATTGAAGCAAGTATTCACCTCTTTTACCCTTCATACCTCAGTTTCTTTTGGGTGCATATGAAACATTATTCTAATAAGTGACTAAGGAATCCATTCATTTGTTAGTGGAAAAGTTGAAAGAATGTATGTGCTGAAAGAAATCTACAGGGGCTGGGAAGGTGGCTCAGCTGTAGAGTGCTTGCCTTGCATGCATAAGGCCCTGGGTTCAATTCTCCAGCACCACATAAGCAAAAAGAAAAAAGCTGGACGTGGCGCGGTGGCTCAAGTGGTAGAGCACTAGCCTTGAGCTGAAGAGCTGAGGGTCAGCGCCCAGGCCCAGAGTTCAGGCCCCACAACCTGATCCAAAAAAAAAAAAAAAAGAAAGAAATCTACAGACGTCTTCTAGAGTAGATCAGTTCTTTCTGTTTATACAGCAGAAAAGTATGGATTGGTTGAGGTTGAGTCAGAGTAAGTGTGGGGCGTTTTTCCAGTTCCCCCATCTAGCCATCTTATAAAATCACTGCACACTCAGCCTCAACTGTTCCTGGACACTTATCCGCTAAGCTGGACACAGCCCAAGTCTCAGCTGTATGTGGAATATCCTTCACTAAGTAGTTCCATATGGTGCCATAGCAGGCAATAATGGGCAGTAAAAGGATCCCACACCCCGAAGGCTCACCGAATGCAGGCAGAGCAGCTCACAAATAGCCCTATCTTTAAGATTCGAGGCAGCCTGGGACTTGACCGGCTTCAGATGCCCTTCCTCAGTTATTCAGGCTCAGATTCTGGTTTCTGAGTTTAAGCTGACCGGAGCATTCAGTTTCCTGAAAGCTGTGAGCCAGGCCATCTTCTATTCTGGGCCTCCTTTCTTCATTGAGAGTCCCACTCTTTCGGAAACCCTGTTTTGATTCTGCATCAAGAGGTTGCAGGGTCCTTACCAGGCCCTCTGTTCTCTTTCATCCCATTTCCCTTGCAGACGCTTTCCTCCCCACCCACCCAAAGACTCTCACACTCTTGTCCACATTCATACAGTCACCTTACACATATACTTTCCCCTCCATTGTGGTTATTATATTGTTTTCAAATACATTTTTAGATAAGGGAGGAAAAAAATCTCATAAAGAGTAGACGTTACATCCTTAACCTGTCCTGTTCAATATGGCCAATACACTTCAATATTATGGATTCCATCAGTGTGTTAACATGAGACACCAGGAAAAGAAATAACATCTTTTGGCTGTGGACACTCTTGTAGGATAGCTCTCAAAAGAGAAATTTACTAGAAGGATGATCACTTTAGATTCCCACCATTTTTACCCCTTTCAGCAAACGTCCCCAAGCTGGAAAGTTGGCAGTGAGCTGGCCAACCCCATTCTATACCCCCTGCCCCAGCCACCATCATTTCTGTTCTGTCTACTTCCTGAATGTCTCCCTGAATTCATCCCATTGACTCCCTTGATCATCATTACAGTTCAAACATTCCTATTTCTTACTTAGTTGTTGGATGTGTGTGTGTGTTGGAGGGGGGGTTCTGGGGCTTGAACATAGGGCCTGGGTGCTGTCCCTTAGCTTTTTTGCTCAAGGCGAATGCTCTACCACTTGAGCCCCAGGCTCAACTTCTGATCTTTTTGTTAGCTCAGTGGAGATAAGAGTCTCACAAACTTCTGCTTGGGCTGGCTTTGAACTACAATCCTCAGATCTCAGCCTTCTGAGTAGCTAGGATTACAGGTGTGAACCACTGGTGCCTGGCCAGTCCTTTCTGAATTTTCCTTTCTATCCTTTCACAGATTTGTGTATATAAACAAGTACTAGTACTCTACCCTTATATAAACCTGCTCTGGCTAAATTGATCACTTCTCACTCTCATCTAAGTATTGTTCTTAAGTCTGGGGTTGCATCTGTTATGTAATTACTGTGTCTTTCTCACCCACTGGACTAAGTGCTGAGACCGAAGTTGTTGTCTTCCTCAAAATTTTGATCCTAGTTCCTAGAAGGGTATATTCCATTTTTTCTTATAGAACTTATGCAGAGTAAGGACAAATGCGGTTACTTTTCTGTCTGTGAATTCTTTGTGCATTGGACCTCATCTTGCCTTTGTACCAGCAATGGAGTCTGATATCTAGGAAGTAGCCAGAATAGACTAACGAATTGAATCCACAAACATATGTCAAATCTCTCTGTCTTTGCATGCATGGATCTCTGTAGGCTCAAAAATGTTCTTCCTCACCTTTTCTATCTGCATGGAAAGCATCATGGAAAAACCAGCCCAGAGCAGGCTTCTATGTCAGGCTGATTTGGGCTCAATCCTGGCCTTGCTATCTCCTAATATTGTGGCCTTGCTTCCATTTTTCTCTGTAAAATAGGAAAAATAAAATCTATACAGGGCTGGGAATATGGCTTAGTGGTAGAGTGCTTGCCTAGCGTGCATGAACCCCTGGGTTTGCTTTCTCAGTATCACATAAACAGAAAAAGCCAGAAGTGGTACTGTGGCTCAAGTGGTAGAGTGCTAGCCTTGAGCAAAAGAAGCTCAGGGACAATGCTCAGGCCCTGAGTTCAAACCCCAGTACTGGAAAATAAAATAAAATCTATACAAAGGGTGTTAGGGAGATTGAATGAGACAGTATATTTAAAGCACTCATTTGGATGCCTGTACATAGCAAGGGGTCATTAAACAGTAGACAGTAATATTTTAGCTAACCTTTCAAGAATCAGGTCAACTATCCTCTCTTCTAGAAAGTCTTCTTTTACCTCTTCCAACCCCTATATGGATTCAGTGGCTTGCCTACAAACCATGCATTCAATTCTTTTATAAGTCACAATCACAGTAACTTATTCAACTTATTTGAGTTTCTACTGGATACTAAGGATTGGATATAGCGTGATAACAGAAGAACAAGATTTCCTTGTTTAGTAAACCCTTTGAGCTGGATCCTGTCTTTCCTCTGTATCATTTACATCTAGCATGGTGCCTGACTCACAGTAACTTACTGGTAAGAGGAAACTCATTCATGAGCAAATAAGTAGACCTCCTTTGTTGTTGTTGTTTTCTGGAAGTACTGGTACTCAATGGCTTGTGCCTGTCCTGCTAGGCTGGCCCTTCAGTATTTGAGCTATGCCATCCGATCAACATTTTGCTGGTTATTTTTGCCATAGGTTCTCTTTTCCTGCCTGACAGGTATCTGAGCCCCAATCCATCTAGGCTTTTCAGGGATCACGAGTGCATACTATCATGTCCAATTTCCCCATGTGGAAATAGAGGATCACAGAGTGCTAGGCAAGCACTCTACCACTAAGCCATATTCCCAGCCCTGTATAGATTTTATTTTTCCTGTTTTGCTTGAGCTGACCTGAAACTGCAGTTCTTCCAGTCTCATCCTCCAGGCAACGTGGGATAACAGATACATACTATTGTACCCAGGCATGGTTTGAAAAGGGGCTTGTGAACTTTTCTACCTGGGCTGTCATAGAAATTCAATCCTCTCATGATCAGCCTACCAAGTAACTAGAATTACAAGTGTGAGCCACCATGCCCAGTTAATTCTTTATTTTATCTGAAGTTTTCATATTCTTTGTTTGATTGGCTTTTTTCCCTCTTAAATTCTTACTTGAGTCTCAAGAGACTCAGAACTTTGATTTTAACTGCTTATATTAATTAATTAATTAATTTAGTCAGCTGTGGGACTTGAACACTGGGCCTGGGCGCTGTCCCTCAGCTCTTCAGCTCAAGGCAAGCACTCTACACTTGAGCCACGGCACCACTTCCAGGTTTCTGGTGGTTAATTGGAGATAAGAGTCTCACAGACTATCCTGCCCAGGTTGATCTGAGGATCTCAACCTCCTGAGTAGCTAGGATTACAGGTGTGAGTTACCGGTGCCCAGCTTACTTTTATTTTTAATTATGAAATTATGTCTCTCTGTGCCACCATGGCCAACTCCTAGGTTCAAGTAAATTTTCTCCCTCAATCTTCCTAGTAGCTGGGACTTTAGGCATATGCCACTACAGCCAGCTATAATGTTAGCTGCTCTGAATGTGTATACATACCATGCCAGTCTTCCCTAGTGCTGGTTGTATTCGGAGGTGAGATCGTTCTACTCTCTTTCAGATTCTATGACAAGGTCCTTTCATTGCATGAGGATTCAGCAAGCCCTGTGGACAACCCTCTGCTTGCATTTACTCTCATCAAACGTCTTCAATCTGACTGGAGGAATGTGGTACACAGTCTGGAAGCCAGTGAGAATATCCGAGGTAATGAGAAGGGCTGGAGGGACCGAGAGAAGCTTCTATGTCCTGACTCAGTGGTAAGGAGAGAAACTCTGATGGGACATGATGAAGGGTAAGATGGGAGCTATTACTTTATCTCCTTAACTCTTGAGAGTCCAACAAAGTATGTCCCCTACCTAATAGATCTTTATGATTATAGATTAGATTATATCATTTGACCTCAACTACAGGGCTGAGGGTATAGCTCAAGTAGTAGAGCACTTGCCTAGCATGAGTGAGGGCCTGGGTTCAATCCCCAGTCCTGGAGGGAAAAATGAAAACTATGTTGACCCTGTGAAGAAGTACATGATGAACTCATCTATTATATATGTTGTGTGATGGTGTACTAAGCATCCAATAGGTACTTGGCATCAAGACCATTAAGATAAACAGAGCATTTTCTCATGAACTATAGGAACACACCCTATACATAGTAAATGCTTGCTACCTGATTTGGAGAGCATGGGTTATGTTTTTACTACTATTCCAGCTCTGAAGGATGGTTATGAGAAGGTAGAGCAAGACCTTCCAGTCTTCGAGGACGTCGAGGGAGCAGCACGGGCTCTGATGCGGCTGCAGGATGTCTACATGCTCAATGTGAAGGGCTTGGCCCGAGGTGTCTTCCAGAGAGTTTCTGGCTCTGCTGTCACTGACCTATATAGTCCCAGGAGGCTCTTCTCCCTCACGGCAGATGACTGCTTCCAAGTAGGCAAGGTAACGATATTCAGACAGGACCAAGGGCTCAGCTCTAGTTTCTCGTCAGTGAAATAACTATGCCCTGATTGTTGTTTTTTAAATAGGTTTCACATACTTAAAGTAAGCTTGGAATTTTGATATTATTCCCATTGTTTGGTGGTATTGGGATTTGAACTCAGGGCTTCATGCTTGTTGGGTTATTACTCTACCACTTGAGCCATTTCCCCAGTCTCATTTTCTGATGGTTATTTTCAGTATAGGGGCTCACTTCCTGCCTTTGTATGCACTTATGTTGTGTGTGACCCACTTACTTTAAGCATCCATTGTTGTTAGGCTCATAGATATGTGCTACCACACACCCGGGGAGATGAAATCTCATAGACTTTTCGGCCCAGGCTGGTCTGGAATTGCAGTTCTCCTGATCTCACCCTCCTAAGTAGCTAGGATTATAGATGTGAGTCACTTGCACCCAACTTATTATTCCTATTTTTAGATGAAGGAACCCAAGGCAAAGCAGGTAGATGCCTAAGATTGTACAGTTTTAAATATAACAACCCAATTTTGAATCTGATCTTGTAACTCAAGATCCCATGCTCTGCCTTGGGAAAGTGAAGTGATTATATTCTTAGAATACTCTTGGCAGCATTCTAATTATTACAATTATCTATTGTGGCAGAATAAGAGCCGTAAACTAGGCAATGTAATTCTTTGGTTGTCCCAACTATAACTTCTCAGTAAATGAACTATTGGGAGAACTAGGAAAGTAAGGAAGGGATGTGGATGGTGATGTGAAGGTCAGATCATGGAAACTCAGCCTCCTGTATTTCTGGAATCCCTTGCCCCATTTCCTAATTATGTAGAAATACTAAAGCAAATTACTAAAGTAAAGGTAAATAAAAAAACTGCAGCCATTCACTTTAATATTACTTGAACAAACAGATCTCAGAAACCTACTACATGATGTAGTAGTTAACTGATCTCTGATCATCTTGAGATCAGTTTAAAATATCCCCCGCCTTTGGCCTTAAGATGCCCTGCGGGTAAACATTTTTATCATTTTTAATGTGCATATTGCAGGAAAGTGATTTTTCCCTCTGGTTCCTACAGTATTCATGAGCAGATGTAAGGTGGGCTTCAAGGCTCCTAGTTTTAGGAATCAACCATCCAAATTAATGTAGCATGGGGTTCCTGGAGTCACTGTACATACTGTTTTCTTTTTTCTTCCTGAGGTCTTCAGTAGAAACAGAGTCTAATTGTCACCATGGCTAATTTAAATTTAAGCCAGTTAAATGGTTTGTTGTATGGTACCAATACACGCTTCATTAGTGAGGCCTCTCTGAAAGTAAAACCATATGTTGAAAAGGTAGTATGGCAGCTTCCTGAAAGTCATGCTGGAAGTCTTTATTTCTGTATTGCTGCACTTATTTGGAAAGATTAAAAACATTCCAAATACTGTATATAAAAAGTACACAGTGTACAAACAATGATAATTAAGGAAGGTGAAATGGTGTTGTTCAGATTGTCTATATTTGTTCCTTCTCCCCACCCAACACCCTATCCTACCATGTAGCCACTGTCCTGAACCATAAAACATGTGATTTTTTTTAAGTTCGCTTCTTTCACTCTGCACATAAAATTTATCCATGTTGTTGGATTTAGTAGTAGTTTGTTCCTTTTTATTGATGAGTAGAATTCCATCACATGAATATACCACCAACTTTTTTATATTTTAATTTATTTTATTTTATTTTTGTCGGTTGTGGGGCTTGAACTCTGGGCTTGCACTCTTCAGCTCAAGGCGAGTGCTCTACCGCTTGAGCCACAGCGCCACTTCCAGTTTTCTAGTGGCTTATTGGAGATAAGAGTCTCAGGGACTTTCCTGCCCGGGCTGGCTTTGAACGATGATCCTCAGATCTCAGCCTCCTGAGTAGTTAGGATTACAGGCGTGAGCCACAGGCACCCAGCTACCACCAACTTTTGATCTAGTCTCCTGTTGATATATGCTCAGATTGTCTCCAGTTTGGCCTTCTATGAAAAAAGATGTTATTACCATTTGAATGTATATCTGGTGGACATTAGTCTTCATTTCTCTTTGATGAATGACTACCTGGGAGTGAGATTGCAGGTCAAAGAATAAACCTCAGTAGTTATCAATTTGTGGTCAAATTTGTTTCCTCTGTACTTCTCCAAACACTTCATTCATGGGTTCTTTCCAAGACTGTCTAATTCTGCTACTGTCCAGTTGTGTCTATTGATGTATTGATGCAATTGTGAATATTCTAAGGAGACATTTGATTTTCCTAGGTTCAATTTCATCATGGGTGAATGAGGAGAAAGAAGATTAAAAGCACAGGAAAAGATCAGTCATTTGGGATTGTCATTCATTTTACAGCTAAGAAACATGAGGACTAGATGGATAAAACAAAAGGTTAATGGTAGACCTAGGACAGGAGCTGCTTTCTAATGTAGGCTGCAGAGTTGCAGAATCTCTATGTCCTGTCATCTGGAAGTTATACCTGAATTAGATCATTTTGTAACAGTTGTTCCAACTCAGTGACTTTATAATTCCATGTTGCTTCCAATATTGACTTCCAGGAAATTGTACTGTGGGTCTGGTGTTCTCGTTAACTGTTAGCTAGGAGGAGACAGGAGCTCTGGTTGTGCCTGTGGCCATGTTGCCCGGCATTCCAGCATTTAATAATTTAATAAGAACAGACCCACTGAGCTCCCACAGCATGCCCACGTCTCCCTCCATTACCATGTCTAACCTGGTTACACTGACTGCTTTACTCACGTGCCCTTACTTGATTCAAGTTTCCCAGTGGCAGGCACCACCAGTTCCTACTCAGTAACTACTTGAATCCACCCCTCACATTGCTACCAGCAATACATCCCTAAAAAAATATGACATTCAAAACCAGATTAGTGTAGCCCATGCTCCCTTTGTATGCTCACATTGTTTTTCTTCACTTTTAAGTCTTAATATATTCTGTTTTTGCCATTCTGTCATTTTAAAATGTTTCTTTTCTCAATCCCTATACAATGAATTCCTTCTTATTCAAGGAAAGCCCATCTTAGCTGCCACTTCTACTAAACCTGCTGATTCCCAAGTCTTTTCTGGTCTGTGTGTCTTTATAGCAAATTATGCCTTTTGTTGCAAGCAATCATGACTGCTTCCTCCATATTACATCTGATCCGTCCTTTCTTCTCTGCCAGATTATAAATTCCACAGACAGATGCTTAATAAACTGAATTACAGTGAATGCGAGATGGAAACTTTCCTTCTTATGTCTCAGAAGCCCTTGTGTTCTCTGAATAACCATATTCTTTCCTCTGCCCATGGTCTCAGGCTTGTGTTTCCTACAGGTGGCCTATGACATGGGGGATTACTACCATGCTATTCCATGGCTGGAGGAGGCTGTCAGTCTCTTCCGAGGATCTTACGGAGAGTGGAAAACAGAGGATGAAGCTAGTCTAGAAGATGCCTTGGATCACTTGGCCTTTGCCTATTTCCAGGTAGGGGAATAAGTGAGACTGAGGGCTTTTTATCACTATAAAAGTAATGCTCTGTTGACACTGGTTGCTCACACCTGTAATCCTAGTTACTCAGGAGGTTGAGATCTGAGGATTGAGGTTCAAAGCCAGCCCAGGTAGGAAAGTCTGTGAGATCATCTCCAATTAACTGCCCAAAAGTCAAAAGTGGAGCTGTGGCTCAGGTTGTGGAACACTAGCCTTGAACACAACAGCTCAGAAAAAGCACCCAGACTCAGTTCAAGCACCCAGACTCAGAGTAGCCTCCCCCCTCCAAATGTCACATTTCTTAATTTTTTTCATCTTCTTAACAGGACCAAATTCAGAGAAGTTGTTTTATTATTTTATTATTTCCATATGTTGCATTTAAGTCTCCAAAAATATCTCGATCAGGTGTAGTGGCTCCTGCCTGTAATCCTAACTCTTTATGAGGTAGGGATTTGGGAGGATCATAGTTGAAAAGAGCCCAGGCAAAAAGTTTGCAAGACTATATCTCAAATAATTAAAGCTGGGTGTGGTCCACACCTGTCACCCCAGCTATGCAGGAAGTATAAAAAGCTTCAGTCCAGCCAGCTATAAACAAGAGATCCTTTCTCAGAAATAACCAAAACAAAAAGCATTGGAGAGCAACACAAGTGATAGAGTACCTGCATAGCAAGCACAAGTTCAAGCCCTAGGCTGGATCTCCAGTAATGCCCCACTCTCCCTCTCCCAAATTCTTAACTTGTCTTTAAAAAAATAGGCTCTTCCTTTGCTTCCTTCCTACTAGCTTTCTAGACTGTAGAAAGTACTGAACCTGGACACCAAATGGTTACTTACTAAAGAGTTTCATAGTTCCATTTCAATTTAATAACAAAATATAATCAAATAATGATACCCTGTGATTATGAGGTTTTACATACTTTGAGATTTGAGGACACTTTAAGAAAAATTATCTGTTTTATGTTTGTTTGTTTTGTGGTGCTAGATATTAGACTCAGGGCTTCGTGCATGCGTGTCAGTAATCTCCCACTGAGCACTTGCCTAGCATGCAAGTTGAGCCTTATTTATTTTTCTGCATTCTCTGGTAAAGATATTACTAAGACATTTGTTGGTGAGGAGACCTGTTTTACAGCAAGGCCATAGATCCTCTACATTTCTAGTCTTCTGCTCTTTTGAATGAACTTCATTATGTACTTGTGGTGAGAACATTTTACAGTTTATATAAAAATCTGCTTAATGATTTGATTACAGGAGATATTTTCAGTACAGTCAACACTTTCTTTGCTTTACTTTTTCTTCTTTTTTCTTTTGTAAAATAAGGCAGGAAATGTTTCCAGTGCCCTCAGCCTCTCCCGAGAGTTTCTTCTCTACAGTAAGTGATGATAAGATAAGCCCTCTTGGGTCTGACTTCTCCTGGTGTTTATTTACCGCAAATGAAATATAGCTATTTTTATTATTCTAATTTCATGATCCAAAGTATATTTCAAACTTGGGGTGAAATTGAACATATGTGCACAGTGCATGGGGAAAGTTGGCAAGTTATATGGGAAATGCTGAGAAGATGTTAAATTAACCTTGAGGGGATGAGATGGGTAGGAATGTGGAAATGTAACAGTGAAATCTCCATCTGCATAACTAATGTAAAATGATAATAATAACAACAATAATAATAATTTTTAAATGTCAACATGCTAGGTGCTGGTGGTTCACACCTAGTATAGGGCACTAGCTTTGAGTGACAGTACCCAGGCCCTGAGTTCAAGCCCCAAGACTGACAAAAAAAAATTCAATATGCCCCTTCCCACCTTATTCCTTAATAGAACAAACTGTTCAAGTTGAAAGCCAGTTTTTTCAGACATTTAAAAATCTGGGTTTTGACCCAGATGCTAGGCCTCATGCCTATAATCCTGGCTACTCAGGAAGCTGAGATCTGAGGACCTCAGTTCAAAACCAGCCGGGACAGGAAAGTCTGTTAGACTCTTATCTCTATTAACCAGCAAAAAAGCCAGAAGTAGAACTGAGGTTCAAGTGGCACAGCATTAGCATTGCGTATAAAAGTCCAGGGATAGTACCTAAGCTCTGAATTCAAGCCCCAGGACCTGCACACAGACATAAAACAACACCCTGGGTTTTCAAAGTAGCCCCAGGAGTGAATGAAATCCATGGGCACTATGACTACAAGAAGGAATATGACTCACTCTGGCTGTTTACTGAGACATATCCGGTTTTTCCTTTAAAACCATGGCTCACTTTGTTAAGCAAGAATCCTACTCAAAGTGCAGCTGCTTCAGTCTTCTACAGGGAGTGCCTTCTGAGAACAAAATGAATTGTCTTGGAGAGAGACACTTCCTAGCTGAGCCTGATTTTTTTTTTAAATAAAATTTCAATGGTAGCTGGGCATTGGTGGCTCACTCCTATAATCCTAGCTTTTCATGAGGCTGAGATCTGAGGATCGCAGTTCGAAGCTAGCTTGGGTAGAGAAGCCCATGAAACTCTTATCTCCAATAAACTACTCAGAAAAAGCCATAAGTAACTCTGTGGTTCAAGTGGTAGGGCACTAGCCTTGAACAAAAGAAGCTCAGGGGCAGAGCCCAGGCCCAAAGTTCAAGCCCCAGAACCAGAAAAAAAAAAAGTCAATAGTTAGATGGATTTCTGTAGTAAAGTATTATTTAATAAAGCATTTAGATACTAAAATAAGACACAACATCATGTATGTTATGTCTTAATAATTTATAAAGCATTTATTTCTTCACTTATTCATCTTTATTTGATTGTTTGTTTGTTTATTTGTTTAATGTATGGTACTACGGATTGAACTCAAGGCCTCAGAACTTGCCAGGCAGATACTCTATCGATTGAGCCACACCTTCAGCACTTTTTACTATTGGTTATTTTTGAGGTGGGGTCTCAATGTCCATGTGCCTTGTCTGTGATCCTCCTATTTGTGTTTTCCCATGTGACTGGGGTGACAGATGCAAGCCACCTACCCCAAGCTATTGGTTGAGATGGAATCTCATGACCTTCTATGCCAGCTGGCCTTCATATCCCTCAGTCTCTGTCTCTCAAGCAACTAGGATTACAGGTTTAAGCCACCAGGCTGGTTATTCACAACATTTTAAATAAATCTTGAGTATAGTTGGCCCTCCATCCAAGGATTGAACCAACCTTATATTGAAAATACTTTAAAAATAAATGTGTCTGTACTGAACATTTCAGTCATCATTCTTAAACAATATATTATAATAACTATATTCACATAATATTTACACTTTGTATTAGGTATTAGAAGCAATCCAGATATGATTTAAAGTGTATGAGAGGGTATGCATATATGCAAATATGACACTATTTTATGAACCGACTTGAGTATGTGTGAGTTTGGGTATCCATACAGGTTCTGGAACCAATCCCATGTGTATAATATAATATATAATATAATATGATATTATATTATATATAATACTATGGATTATATTATAATATATTATATATAATATAGTATGTTATTATGTAATATATTACTCTTTCTGAACTATGATTATGGAAGTCACTGTATGTTCTGGAAACACGTAAATGACTCGTAATATTAAAAAAAAAACTCCACTTGTTTCACTTTTTGTGCTTGACTCATTCAGGTCTCTCCCAAAGAACCCAAATTATATACTATCACAGGCAGATAAGTTGTGTGGCAAATTGGGGCTCCTGGTTCATCTCTAGCTTTGCAATACTTTCACTGGTGCTTGGGTTCACCATTTTCTTTCTCCACAGCTTCAATTCGCTTGTTAGAAACTTCTGGCCCCTCCTTTCCTCATTTTCCAAGGTGGTGGTGGTTAGAAGCACATTGGGGGGGGGTCTTCAGATATTTTGAGAACATTGCAACAATTCAGCCCCTCCTTCTTAGAAGCACTGAGAACCACACCCAGAGGCCAACAGGCCATGGGTAGCTGCATCTTGCAGTCAAAGTTGACACGAGTAGATGGGCAAAAGCAAGACACAAGATTTCTTGAGTTCTCCGGGGACCCTTTGGGAATCAAGTGAAACCCAAATCTAGAACTCTTTTGTCTTATACCGATTTTCTCTGAAAAAGATAGCTGCTAGTACACTATCTGGTACACAGGAAGGATTTAATGAACATTTACTAAGTGGATAGGTAGATGGATGAATGAATGAACAAGTGAATGAATGAAGTGTATCTCCTATACATAAAACTGACCATCTCAGAGCTGTCATCTCATGGACCCTTGGTCAAGTACCACATTCTTTCCCAAAGTCCTTTGTACCTACAGCTTCACCAAGCCCAGGTCAGTCTTTAATAATAAGATACTGTCCTTTAGCCACTAGGAGTTATTCAGGGTGCTCAGGTGCCTGGAGAAATGTACACATCCTAGGAGTCAGAGTTTGTTAATCTTTATTTTTCCTTGCTCTGATTTCCTTCAGGTCCAGATAATAAGAGGATAGCTAGAAATGTGTTGAAATACGAAAGGCTTTTGGCAGAAAGCTCCTACCAGGCAGCAGCTGAAGCTGTCATCCTGAGGCCCAATGTACCCCACCTGCAGACCCGAGACACATACGAGGCATTGTGCCAGACACTGGGTTCTCAGGTAGGATTCCTTGGGGAAGGCAGAAGACAGATTTGGCTCAAATGAGAAGTTAGAATTCGAACAACATGAAGAGAAAGGCCAACGTTTTCAAAAACAATAAAGCACACTTGTGCAGTGGCTAAGTGATCACCTGTTTCTCTTGAGTTCCAGCTTTTATGTTGCTCCTAGACCCTTCTTCTCTTGCATTGAGCCCTCTCTTTTCTTCTAGCCCATTCACTACCAGATCCCCAGCCTCTATTGCTCCTATGAGACCAGTTCCAGCCCTTACCTGCTACTCCAGCCCATCCGGAAGGAGATTATCCACCTGCAGCCCTTTGTTGCTCTCTATCATGACTTTGTCAGTGACTCAGAGGCTCAGAAAATTCGAGAGCTTGCAGAACCATGGGTGAGTGTGTCCAAATGCCTGGAATTTAGGAGTATGAGAACAGGAACACCGGAACACTTAGATCCTTTGTTAGTCCAGAAGCTCAAAATACTACCCATTTTATTAAGCTAGTCATTGATGGAAAAATCATAAGGAGGTTGCCTCTCATGGGAAAGGATTTACTGGAAGGAGGCACCAGGGGATTTTTCTGGAGTATTAAAAATGTGCTTTTAGCTGAGTGCTGGTTGCTCACACCTGTAATCCTAGCTACTCAGGAGGCTGAAATCTGAGGGTTATGGTTCGAAGCCAGCCTGGGCAGGAAAGTCCATGAAACTCTTATCTCTAATGAAGCACGAGAGAGAGAGAGAGAGAGAGAGAGAGAGAGAGAGAGTGCACGCTAGAAGTGGAGCCATGGCTCAAGTAGTAGAGTGCTAGCCTTGAGCAACAAAGCTCAGCGACAGCTCCCAGGCCCTGAGTTTAAGATTGGCACCTATATAAAATAAAAATAAAAATGTGCTTTTAATATTTTCTTATGGGCATGGACTTCCTGGCTGTATGAATTTGATGATAGTCAGCAAATGGTATGCTCAAGACTCGTGCTTATCATTGTATATAAATTTAATCTCAGAAAATTAAAAGGAAATTTCCAAAAATGGCAATCATTCCAGATAACAAGGAGAAGAAAAGAATATGCTAGAGACGAGGAATGAAATTCTAATACGTATTTATAGACTGGTGGGTGGAAAGATTATCTAGTTCAACTCCATGACTGTTGAAAAGGAAATGGAGGCTCAACGTGTGGGAATGGTCTTAATTAAGATCATACACATAGCTAGAGACAGGACTGAAGTTTAGAGATACACTGATTGCCACGGGGCTTCTTCCTTGCATCAGTTCATTTAGATTAAGTTATACTTGGTAGTAAGCAGCCCCTGAATCTTAGAGATACTTTCTCATATTACTTGTCTGTCCTGGGATTGGCTGCAGCTATTTCCTACCTGGTCTCTGTTCTGGGATCCAGCCTGGTAGAGTAGTCTCTGTTAGGAACATTGCTGGTCTTATCCTAGAGGAAAAAGACAGAAATGACTATTGAGCATGTTCTTAAAGCTACTGCTTAGAATTGCAGGTATTACTTCCATCCATGTATCATCCATGATGAAGTGTGTGCCCACCACTGCAGGTACAGGGGACTTAGTCTAATCCTTTTATAGGAAAGGCAGTACAAACCACAGAGCCAACCCATGCCAATGTGAAGAGAATCGCCCTTATAGGAAGTGTGGTAAATGTTTGGAGAAAAAAATAGAATTGGGCATGGAGGTGTACTGCAATCCCAGCTTGGGAAGAGGCAGGGGTCAGAAGATCTCAGTCTAAGGCTAGCTCTGGACAAAAGGATGAGACCCTATCTGAGAAATAAACTAACGCCAAAAGGACTTAAGGTGTGACCCAAGTGATAGAACCTTGTATAGCAAGAACAGATCCTGAGTTCAAACCTCAGTCCCACCAAACAAGAGAAAAGGAAATATATATAATATAATATTTTTCAGTCCATCTCACCTCTCTGAGTCTGTTTTCCCTTTGAAAAATGGCACTTCAATCTGCCTCAGAATTATATCCAACCAGAGATTATGCACTTAATGTGTGCTGTTCATCCAAGAAAACATTTAGTCATTCAACTGAGCACACACTTGTGCCAGACACTGGGCTGGTACTAAGCTTTTTCAGAGACAAGGTATGGCCCCTTCCCCTTTTGAATCCTACTGCATAGGGAGAAGGCAGGCATTTAGAAGGCCCTGTGATATGTGCTGGAGGGAGGGGGTGCAGAGTTGTGCGCTGGAGAACTAAAAACTTCTCCCCTAATGAGAAACCAGCTATGGGGAGATGGCAAAGACAGAGAAGAGAAGCAAGCAACTGTCACCATAGTGTGAATGCCATCAGGTGGTAACAACTATTCCAGGAAGACGGTCATACATTGCAAGAGCTAGCTAGGTGGCATGTTGGGAGAACGGGGGTAAGTTTGATGGTGAAGTCTGTGAGAGCCAGGATGGAGGGTGGTAATTGATTGGTCTAGAGAGTGAGACCCCATTAATGAAAGGCCTAAATGTCATGCTGGGTGGTTTGGGTTATATCTGGTAGGCTGTGGGGCAGGGTGGGAAACTGTGGGATGGACAGTTTTAAATAGAGGGGTGGTATGACTGGACCGCTGGTTTTAAGTATGACCTGACAGCATACGTGGACTGGATGGAGAGCAACCATAGTCTTTTCATCCAGAAGGCTCTCCAGGAAAGTCTAGAGTCTCCATATGAGTTGTTGTTGTTTGAGCTGATTAAGCTCTACTGGTGATGACTTTTTATGAGACTGGCGCACTATCTACTGTGCTAACGAGGCCCCTACAATGACTTTTTAATAGGGTCAGCTTCTCAGGGAGCCAGTAGTCAAATCTGGCCAGCCACAGCATTTTTCCTCAGAGCAGTTCTGTTGCCATGGTGATGGGACAGCAGTCTACCACAGAGAGATGTTCATGGAATCCTTTATGGGCAGATCATGCCTTTGGCATTCACAGCCCTTGCTACACTCCCTCCCCTGGAAGTGACTTACTGGGCTTCTATAGGTTGGCCCCCAGTGACAACTGAGCACAGACACTTCTGTGATTTGTGTAGGGTTTGTCTACTTCTTCTCCACTGCCTCTTTCCCAAAGCCTGCTCTCCCATCAATGCCTTCTCTACCTACCTTCCATCACCCTCAAAGACCCAGCTAAACCCCACACCTCTCTTGGGCCCATCAGGTCAGGCCACTAGTCCTCTTGAGGGTCACATACACCAAATTATCCCCCCCCCCATACAAAGCTTTTGTCTCTTGTTGTATCATACTTTTAAAATGTGTTCTGAGCCAGGGGCCAGTAGCTCATGCATGTAATCCTTAGCTACTCAGGAGGTTGAGATTTGAGTATCACAGTTGGAAGCAAGCCTAGTAGGAAAGTCCATGAAGCTCTTTTATCTCATTAGCCAGCAAAAAAGTTAGAAGTGTAGGTGTGACTCAAGTGGTAGAGCACCAGCCTTAAGAGAAGAAGGTAAGGTGCCTAAGGCCTGAGTTCAAGCCCCACTACCAGCACACACACACAAAAAAACGTTGACTGGAATCACTAGCTGTAACATGGGTTAGCATTCTGTCTCCCCAGTTAGACTAAAGTAACAGGCGTCACATCTTGAAATCAAAATGACTTGCTCTGGGTTACGTCCCTTGCAAACAGAGTACTATTTTTTTTTCTTTTTGAGATGGATGTTACTATGCTGCTCAAGCTGGCCTCAAACTCCTGGGCTTCAAGGGATCTTCTTGCTTCATCCTCCTGAATACCAAGCCTAGCCAGAATAATCTTTAAAAGATCATCTTTGACCTTATAAAATCCCTTTCTTAAACTCTGTGATGGGTCACTTTTGCTTGAATACTTACCAAGTTCTGTGTTCTGGCTGTGGCTGACTCCTTCTGCCACATCTTCCCTTGCCGCCCACACTCGAGCTGCCTGGAACAGCCTTCTGTGTTATCTCTCTCCTTCTGTGTTCTCTCTCTCCTTTCTGCCTGGAATGCCTGCTCTCCATCTCTTTCTACCTTTGCAATTACAATGCATCTATGATCATCCTGGGGAACCTTCCTGTGTCTCCTAAGAACTAAAGGCCTGTCTCTGTATTTCCACAGCCCCTTCTCCCTTCCCATCATAGCTCCATGAGATGATTTATGGGCAGAGTCTTATTCTGTTTTCATATATTGTTTTTCTAATGCCCAGCACCATGCAGAGCACAGAAAACAGCCAACAAAAAAATGAATGACCTGGGCTGGGAATGTGGCTTAGTGGTAGAGTACTATGTATAAAGCCCTGGGTTCAATTCCTGAGTACCACATTAAACAGAAAAGGTTGGAAGTAGTGTTGTGGTTCAAGTGGTAGAGTGCTAGCCTTGAGCAAAAGAAGTTCAGGGACAGTGCCCAGGCCCTGAGTTCAAGCCCCAGGACTGGAAAAAAAAAGAAGAATGACTTATAGGTCCACAATAAGGATCGTGAAAGGAATTAGCTACAAAGTAGCTCCTTAATTGGGGAAAAGGGAATTCCTAGGATTGATTTTGCCCTGTAGTAACAGAAGAGATCATTACCTCTCTTCTATACATCTCTCTCTCTCCCCTCTATAGATGGCTCAGGAGGGGACACCAGGAACAACTGGGGAGACAGGATCAGTCACCTGATTTCCTAGGTGCTAGAATTGTAGAGCTACAGGCTAGGAGGAGCTCTCAAGAACATATTTGCATGCTGTGTGTTGCATGCTGTGTGTTGTTGGTGGGGAGACTGATCCACAGGAAGAAGGTTTTTCCAAGATGGCCACTTGATTTGGCAGCAGGAAGGACAACCTGAGAGAAGACAAGGGTTTCTATCTTGTGCAGTTGGTTCACTGCTCCACCATGGCCCTGAATGCCTGGGAAGCCTCAGTACTGGTGTACAAGCCTAGAGTGCCTTTCTGTGCAGAGCAGAGCAGATCTTGACTCATTTGTGGTCTGTATCCATTTAACCAGTGCTGAGTCCCTGCCTCCTTCCTGGACTCTGCAGTTGGAGACACAGCACCATGTACAGACTCAGCCCTTACCCTCACACACCTGTCACCCTCCTGACAGAGGCTGTGAATAAGTGATTCTCTCTCTGAGAATCACTGAGTTTGTGTTAAGGAGTCATTAAAAAAAACATTCTGTCTGCTACATGTAGACAGAATGAAACATTCAATTTAAAAAAATGGCTTCAAACTGTAGTCTTCTTCATAATCAAAGCTGCAGCCAAAGATTGTGATTCTCAATAAGGAAGGTTTCAGCCAAAGGGAGCAGCTGAGTTGAGCTTTTCTTGTCATTGGCCCTGGGTGCCACTTGAATCAAGACACAGTGCTTACTACATCAGCCCCAAGCCTGCAGTACAAAGAGGATGAGAAAGACCCTGCTCTTACCTAACTCCATCTTGCAGACACAAAAGGGATTGAAATGCCAGTTTTTTTCCAACTCCTAGGACTTGTATTGCGTGTTTACTGTCTTCCAGACACAGCTGTGAAGGTTACTTTCAACTCTAAGATTTTTGCTCACTTATTTTATTTTCAGGATCACTAAATTACTACCATGTACAAAATATCCTTCCGTGGGTGATGAACCAGCGATTATCTTGTGCTTTGAAAGGGGCAGCCTGTGGACATAAAGGGCCTGCCCTTTGTTTTTTTGTTGTTGTTGGCCGTGGGGCTTGAACTCTGGGCCTGGGCGCTGTCCCTCAGCTCTTCAGCTCAAGGCGAGCGCTCTACCACTTGAGCTACAGCACCACTTCCGGTTTTCTGGTGGTTTATTGGAGATAGGAGTCTCACGGTCTCTCCTGCCCAAGCTGGCTTGAACCGTGATCCTTAGATCTCAGCCTCCTGAGTAGCTAGGATTACAGGCGTGAGCCACCAGCGCCCGGCTGGGCCTGCCCTTTGTGATGTAATCACTTGGACTTTGTCTTGTCCTTCCACAGCTACAAAGATCAGTGGTAGCTTCAGGGGAAAAGCAGTTACAAGTGGAATACCGCATCAGCAAAAGGTAAGAAGGACCTCCCAAGAAGGGACCATGCCTGCTGCCAGCTGTCAGCAATGGCGTTTCTGGGACAGCCATAGATGCTGTTGGAGAATCTGTAGTTCATGTTGTCTATGTATTGTCTTTTTTTTTTTTTTTGCTGGTCCTGAGGCTTGAACTCAAGTCCTGGGCGTTATCCTTGAGCCTCTTTGTGCCCAGGGCTAGCATTCTACCACTTGAGCCACAGCTCCACTTCTGGATTTTTTCTGGATAGTTTAATGGAGATAAGAGTCTCACAGACTTTCCTGCCTGGGCTGGCTTTGAACTGTGATCCTCCGACCTAAGCCTCCTGAATAACTGGGATTATAGGTGTGAGCTACTAGAATTTGGCTTTTTTTTTTTTAATGACAGTGCTTCACTAGGTAGCCTAGACTAGCCTCCTCAAACTCATCTTCCTCCTGCTTTAGCTCTCCAAAGCTGAGATTACAGGCATGCACCACTATACCTGGCATATGCATTATTTTTTTTTCTGAGAGGGAGAAGCTTCCACTCTCCTCACCTCAGGACCTTCCTCAAGTTCTGTTTTCTGAGAAACTAACAAAGAGGCCATTAGAGAAAGAATTTTTAAAAAATGCCTCTACTCCAACTAGAAAATAAGCATCTAGTTATTCCTATCTTGAGTTTCCTTTGTGGAAACTATAGTCCTGTCCACATTTGTCATTTGACTTTGCAGATTCTATTCCCACCTCTGACTCATATGCTAAGCATGACTTGCGAACACTCAGGCAAGAGTTATTACTAGCCTCCCAGAACCACAGGCTTCTCTAGAAGAGCCTTTTCTCCTATGCACCCAGCTTCATCCTCTTCCCTGAATCTCTGTCTCTTCACTACAGCCCTTTATTTGCACAGGACTACTGGGAGACAGTACAGGCAGGAATGTCTTTCAAGCCAAGCAAGGCAGCCATGTCAGCATCCTGGGGAGAGGCCAGATCTCATGGGGATCGTCTGAATGGGAGGCGAGAGGGAGAAAGCTCTGATGCTGAATCATTTTGGCTGAACTTATTTGGTCTGGTAGATTTAAGGAGCTTTCACATTAGGAGTTATTCTTGAAGCTTTGGAAGTCTGTGTGACTCAGCTTTATTGTTTTTGCTCACGTTCCTGGAATTCTAGTGTTAAGAGAGGAAAAGTGACCTTCTGTGTAGGTGCATGGTTTTAGGGAAGTATGTGGTATTTTCTTCACTTTTCAGATCAAACTATCGCCTCTTTTTCCCTCCTGACATCACTCATCAACTTTTGAATTTTGGTTCTGTCCTTGTAACTTCACTGGAAATGATCCCTCACAAGTCACCAGGGCTAGGTATCAATAGCTCACACCTGTAATCCTACTCAGGAGGCTGAAATCTGAGGATCACAATTCAAAACCAGCCTGGACAGGGAAGTCCATGAGACTCTTATGCCCAGTTAACTAAAAAAAAAGTCAGAAGTGGAGCTATGGCACCAACCTTGAGCAAGCAGCTACAGGACATTGTCCAGGTTCTGAGTTCAAGCCCAGGACTGGCATACATACACACACGCGCATGTGCGTGCGTGCACGCGTACACACACACACACACAAATTTACCAGGGACTGGGCATAGTAGCACAGAACTCTCAAGGTACAGTAAGGATACATAACAAAACTGTGTTTCAACAAGAAACAAACAACAAAAATACAAGGCACTCTGAATTGCTAAATTATTTCCTTTTCATGTACCTCCATTGGTTCTCTGTTAGCCACCTTAGTCCATTTCTCCTTGCCATAAATACCCCCAAATGGAGACTTTATAGAGAACACAGGTTTAGTTCACATTTGTGCAGGCTGAGAAGTTTAGGAGCATCTAGTCAGGGCCTACTTGATGCGTGTTAAAATGGTAGAACAGAGCAAGTATGCTAATTCAGGTTTCTCTTCTTTTTCTTTTTTTTGGCCAGTCCTGGAGCTTGAACTCAGGGCCTGGGCACTGTCCTTGAGCTTCTTTTGCTCAAGGTAGCTAGCATTCTACCACTTGAGCCACAGTGTCACTGCTAGCTCTTTCTGTTTATGTGGAATCAAATCCAGGGTTTCATGCATTCTAGGCAAGAACTCTACCACTAAGCCACATTCCCTCTCTTCTTTTTCTTATAAATAGCCATCAATCCTATCATGGCATGACATGACTTTATTCTAATCATCCCCTAGGACTCCACCTCCAAATACCACTACCATATGAATTAGTTAATCCATGCATTTTCAATACAAGGACTTTGGGATTGGGGACAAAGTTCAGATCCTTTAATCAAACGTCCTGGTCTTTCTTCATCATGCTCAGAGCCTACTCTTCCAAACCTTTCTGCATTATTTTTCTCACAAATCAGATACTTGTAGCATTTGTTCATATTATTTGTTGTCACACCTCCATGTTTGTGCTTGGGCTGTTTCCTCAGGCTAGAAAGTCCTGCCTCATCTATCACTGAAACTTATGCACCCTTCAAAATTTTGCCCAGGCATTCCAGTAGAAATAACTTCTTCCTCAGTGCTTCCCAGCACTCTAAAGTCTACTTTTCATCTTTTTCCACTCTAATTTGACCTTAGCTATAGTTGAGTTTTTCTTCTCTCACGGTCCCTAAATTTGCCTTGGGTATTTTTGCAAGCCTAAGAGTTTGTGGCACTACATGGCGGAATGAGCAAATGAACCCATCACTTCAAGAAGTGGTCTTCTAGTACCAAGCATGTAGTACCAGAGGGCTCCTGGTCTCCCCAGAGGTTCACTGGCTTTGCTTTTGTAGTGCATCCTTAATCTCCCAGGAACCTCTGGACCTCTGCCCTCCCTTCCTCTCTTTCTCTCTTCCTCCCTTCCTCATTTATCCCTCTCTTGGCTCCTCCCTCCCTTCCTCTGGCAACTGACAACTTCTTCATTTATCCACAGACAGTACGTAATTATTTTCAACATCACTGATGCTCTGATCTGTGGTGTGTTTTAGTGCCTGGCTGAAAGACACTGTTGACCCAGTGCTGGTGACCCTGGACCACCGCATTGCTGCACTCACAGGCCTTGATGTCCAGCCTCCCTATGCTGAGTATCTCCAAGTGGTGAACTATGGGATTGGAGGACACTATGAGCCTCACTTTGACCACGCTACGGTAACATTGGGGTGGATAATTAGTCTCCTGGGGGAGGAGAGCCAGCCCTTGTTTAATTCTCTCAAATGGGTTCTCAATAGTTTCTCCAGGAATAGTTAATGGAAGCCTAGAACAAAAGTTTTTGCTTCAAAAATAGCTGAAAACTTTGGCTTCTACTGATTGCTGCTGATTCATTTTCTTATCTGCCACCATGCCTGTCTCTAGAATTGGCTAGTGAGGGAATAATGAATATAGACTGTAATGGAATTGTTTCTTCTACTTCACTTGGGAGTGTCCCCAGAAGGATTGTCCTTCCTCTAGCCCTCTCCTTTCCATTGATCTCAACTGTCCACCTTTGCTGACAGTAGCAAATCATTTTAAGTTTTTTAATTAATTAATTAATTTTTGTCAGGCATGGGACCTAACTCTGGGCCTGGGCACTGTCCCTCAGCTCTTCAGCTCAAGGCTAGTGCTCTACCATTTGAGCCACAGCGCCACTTCCGGCTTTTTCTTTTTGCTTATGTGGTGCTGAGGAATCGAACCCAGGGCCTCATGCATGCAAGGCAAGCGCTCTACCACTGAGCCACCTTCCCAGCCTTCATTTTAAGTTTTAATTTTTATTAGCTTATGTTAGTTGCAGGAGAGAAGTTTCACTGTGACATTTTCTATATATGTTTACAATGTATCCCAATCAACCTCCTTCCCTGCTTACTCTCTTACCTTTCCATGATTCCTATTCATCCTACCCTTTGTTAGCCTTCTCTATCTCTGGAGCACCTCCCCACCCCTCATCTGAAACAATTTGAGAATCAAAAAGACTTCCCTAAGAGAGTGGACATGATCAATGCATGATATATGTATAGGTGGAAATGTCACAATGAACACCATTAATCTGTACAATCAAATGTACATTCATAATTATACTTAAATGAGCAAAAGACTTAAAATACACAGATGGCCAATAAACTCATGGAAAGATACTTCACACCATGAATCGAAATAAATACCTTCCCCCCAAACTGATCTAGAGACTCTGTCCCAACTTTATCATAATTCCAGGAGACTTCTTTTTTTAAAAAAGTTGTTGGTTTTAGAAATTAACAGACTGATTCTAAATGCAAATGGAAGTGCAAAGGACCTAGACCAGTTAGTTTTGTAAAAGAAAAAAGTGGCTCAGAGCTGTATCACATCCTTGACACTCTGTTTTTTTTCTGCATTAATGGTGGAGCCCTGGCTGTCTCTCTGGTATCATCTGCATAATGTCCTGCTATGTCTGGTATCATCTGCTATGTCTTGTTTTGTCTCAGTCGCCAAGCAGCCCCCTCTACAGGATGAAGTCTGGAAACCGAATTGCTACATTTATGATCTATGTGAGTCTTGCTCTGGAAGGACCGGAGCTTCTTACTCAATGTCTCTTTTATTTTATAATTTTCAAAACATTTTCATATATTGATTTAACCTTGTACTGAACTGAAAAGCCTTGAGGAATTTTGTGGCTATCAAAGAGCTTTCCCTCCCCCTACCCCCGCAGTATAGGCAACAAGAACAGATTTTTATCCCTCAAACAGCTCACAGTGTAAGCTTTGAATTTACACAGGTATAACTGTGACCTTGCATAGGCAGTTAGTTGGATGGAGGCAGGGTTACATTGAAGGCCAGGAGAATAGGAGGCTTGAACAGTACAGAGAGAGGATACAGTCTCATTTCAGATCTATGGCCTAAAAGCATGGAGGTGAGTGAAGTTGTGGAGCCAGAAAAGAAAAAGAGAAATGAGGCAGCTCTGACTATGAGAGGAAAGAACAAGAGTCCTACAGAGAAATTCAATAGTGCTGTCTCTGATATGTACTGAAAATCCTACTTCTTTTCTCCCCATAAAATCTGTAAAATCTCCACTGCACCTTTTAAAGAAAACAATTCAGGCTAGATGTCAGTGGCTCATTCCTGTATCCTCTGCAACTCAGGAGGCTGAGACACAAGGATCCCAGTTTGAAGTCAGCCTAGATAGGAAAGTATGAGACTCCTATTTCCAATTAACTACCAAAAAGCTGGAAGTGGAGCTGTGGCTCAAGTGGTAGAGTATTAGCCTTGAGCAGAAAAAGCTCAAGGATAGTGCCCAGGCCATGACAAGCCCCAGGACCAGCACACAAACACACACACACACACACACAGGACCAGCACACAAACACACACACACATACACACACAGATAAATTGGCCTCCACTCCTGATTCTTGGCCTGATCCTACAGGATCTGGCCTCAGTCTTTCTTACAACATCTCTGCTTTCCCTTCAGGACTCCACAAACAAGCCATGATTTCAAACATTCACTCAGAAGAGATTATTAGAAGCAGTCACTAACTAGAGGAGGTTTGCTACTGTTACTGAAGGATGGACATGTTAAGTATGAAGACTCTGGATAACAAACAAAGATGAAGGCCTGGTTTCAGACCCACTGGTGTCAGAAACTCAACTTGGTGTTCCCTCTTCTGTAAGGCCTGGATCTGGTCTCTGCAGCACAGCCAAAAAGGCAGCCAGAGCCTGGCACTCAATATGGTCCCTGGACCTGCAATTCCAATGCATGTTTCCAGATAGTTTGTACTTCCTGCAGAACTGGAGGCCACCACTGACAGTGGTCCCTGGCCTCTTAGTGGCCATTTCTGATCAGAGTGACAGCAGAAGTCAGCTGTCATGTAGCATGCATATCTCAGATCTGCAGCTGGTTGTCATCACTGGCCACCCAGGCTGACAGGAGAGGGCATGGCTGTGAAGAATGGAGCACAATATATGTTTATCCCCCCCCCCCGGCTCTCCCCTCTACCTCCCAACCCTCGCCAGTGCCTCCTGTAGGTTCCCTGGTTACAGAGCTAATTTATTAATAGTGAGGGCAGCATGGGTGTAAAAGTCCAGCAGAATCATGTGTGTACATTTGGAAGGTGCTTTGGTTTTGGAGTCAGTCAGCCTCCACATAAGGCTGCGCTTACTAATGGGGCATTGGTACTAATTACATGAATTATTTACCCTGCATCATTTTCCTGCCCTGAACTTCCTCACAGGATTGTAAGCATCAGATGAGATAATGCAAGAGACTATCACTCTGGAATGTCTCATACAAATCTATATTTCTACTTTTGTAGCCCATTAAGCAAATAGAAGGGCCCCACAACAGTGATTGGTGTCATGAGACCTCAAGGTACTATCAAAGACTAGCAGTGATTTCTAAAGACAATTATAGAGGTTTGTGGGAAATGAGTTATATGGTAAGAAGAAAATCATCTTTAAGGAGTGCAGAGGGCCTGGGCCCCGATGGCTCACATCTGTAATCCTAGCTACTCAGGAGGCTGAGATCTGAGGATCATGGTTCAAAGCCAGCCTGGGCAGGAAAGTCTGTGATACTCTTATTTCCAATTAACCACCAGAAAACTGAAAGTGGCGCTGTAGCTCAAAATGGCAGAGCACTACCCTTGAGCAAAAGAGCTCAGAGACAGCACCCAGACTCAGAGTTCAAGCCCCAGGACACACATACATACACACAAAAGTGTGAAGGATAGAGTTGAAATCATATGGTGATTTTTTTTTTTACTCAGGCTGGACATAGGTGGGTCCTAATATGAAACAATGGGGGGCAAACAGAAAGGAGGGTTCTTTCCCTACCAACCCAAGCCTCATGAGCTTTGTAGCATGCGGAGTCAGTTTCAGTTTAATTATGCTGTAAAACTACAGGTAAAGGATGGCCAGAATAGTCAGGGTCATCCCTGTGGTATTTTGCCTATACCCACAGTGATTTGGTGGGACATGGAGTAGAAGGAAATCATCCAAGCTGTAAGTTATTTGAACATAAGGAATGGGCTGACATTATCATTGGCTTTGCAAGTGGGTACAGGGGGCATCAAAGCATGAGAAAGCCCCCACTGCCATTTCCAGGTTCTCAATCACCCAGTCAGTTCAGTTCTCTCTGATAAGTGCCACCATCCAGACTCCTCTAGAGTTCTCTGAAATACAAGTGGTTATAGTAAGGTTTGATTGCCATAAGATGAAAGAGCATGAACTAAGGCTTGCTCTTCCATGTCATGGCTGCTGAAAAAGTAATTTAGCAGTACATAACAGAAGTATGAAATTTGGGCACACCCCTTTGACTCAGTAGTTCTAAAGCTAGGTCTCTTCTCTGAAAATAAACCAGAGAACAAAATAATTTCATTCACAAAAGTGATCAGAACATTATTGTTTATAGTTAATTATATGCTATATATTGTACGTGTTAAATATTTAGACATAACCTAAAAATTCAGAAGTATGGAGAGTTATAAGCAGAGACTTTGTAGCCAGATAGTATTGACTCTGCTCAAAGTCTGGCTGTGTCATGGAAGAATTATGTGACTTTTAGTAAAGGACTTAATCTCTCAAAAACTAGCTATCTTAACTCACAGGATTCTTGTGAGAGAGAGATATTTGTAAGGACTTAGTATGCCATTCCTATATTTTTTAAAATGTCTATAGTTACTGTGTATTTTTTTGACAATCAGAACAAAATTTTTCAAACGAAGAAAACATGGCCGTAATTCTAGAATATTCTAGCAGTAAAAGGTCTTAGCTTAGAGGGGATCTGAATATATATATATATATATGTATATATATACATATATATATATATGTATAGTTTTTTTTTTCCAAAACAGATTGTTGAAGAAAAACACTTTAGAAACTGGTTTTCAAGGCTGGGAAGGTGGCTTAGTGGTAGAGTCCTTGCTTAGCACGCATGAAGCCCTGGATTCAATTCCTTAGAAGCACATAAACACAAAAAAACAGAAGTGGCGCTGTGACTCAAGTGGTAAAGTGCTAGCTTTGAGCAAAAGAAGCTCAGGGACAGCGCCTAGGACTGGCGAAAGAAAGAGAGAAAGAGAGAGAGAAAGAAAGAAAAAAAGAAAGAAAGAAAGAAAAAAGTTGGTTTTCAAGTTATAGGTCATGATCCATTAGTTGGTTATGAGGTTATTAGATTTGAACAGCATTTTAGAAAACTGAACTGAAGTATAATAAACTTGGGACATATCAGAGGTTAGTTTATGTAGTAAAAATCTTACAAAACTTTTACTGAAGTCTGTATGTGTCTATGTGGGTAAGTTTGTATGTGTATGTATGTATTATGATACAAAATGATGGTCTCGATCAAAAAGTTTGAATGTACTCATTTAGCCTCCATAGGATGTTAGCTGGAAGGGAAAAGAAGGAATTCCCAACCTTGTCCTCCTGGGGTCCTGTGGGCAGGCAGGTGGAGGCTTCCTGAATTCTGAAGTTGGATGATTGTCTTGCATACACTTCTCCCAGAGTTGAAATAGGGGAGTACAGGAGGGAGTCTGCAGAAATGACCTCAGGGATTCATGAACCAGTGACAGAGTATGGACAGCAGCTCTTTTTAACTGCTTCTTCCTCCTGCATTGTAGCTCAGCTCTGTGGAGGTTGGAGGAGCTACAGCCTTCATCTATGGCAACTTTAGCGTGCCTGTGGTTAAGGTGAGTGGGACACAGCCCCAGAAGATGGGGTTGTGAGGGCATAGAAGCACTCCTTCCCTCCCTTTATGCTGTCTGCTTGCAAGCTGATGCCTTAGATGCACTTTTTGCACCTCCACAGAATCTAATTCCTTCCACACTGAGAGCTAGAGGCACTCAGGGTATGGAGAAAAGGCAGTAACCATTCTGTTGCTATGGAGGCAAGATATTTGATTACTGCATGACTATTTCCTCCAATCTTCAAAGCCCTCAGCAGCCTTTGCCTGATTCAGGAATGAGATGAAGAGAAACGAGGTAGATTGTGCCTGTAAAGCACTTAGGACAGTGTCTGGCACACACTAAGCATCCATAAATGAATGCTGGAGTCTGGGGGGGGGTCCCTGGGCTTGACATCTCTTCTAGGATTAGAAACACATGCTTCATTATTGTGGGTTTGGTGTAGTTTAATGGCCAGGTTAAATTAAGTCTAACTTTGCCCCTTCTTGCTTCCCTAATTTCAAGGCCCTAAGTATCCACTTCTTTGGTAGGAGTAGACAATTGTAATACAGTTAACCTTCTGGGGCTTAGTAGTAAGTGGCTAGAGGAGCATTCACCATTCATATTTCCTTTTTAGTATGTGCCAGTTCTGGGCCTTACACTATTACTTGGCTTTTTTGATTAGGGCTAGCATGTTGCCACTTGAGCTATGACTCTACTTCCAGCTTTTTGTTGGCTTACTGGAGATAAGAGTCTCTCCAGTTTATCTGCCTGTGCTGGCTCAGCACCTGAGTAGCTAGAATTATAGGTATGAGCCACCGGTGCACCCTTCTGAACTACTAAAATAGTCAGTTGTACAAAGAATATCTTGTACCACCTTGAAACAAGAGGCCCAGTGTCTGCCCTCAGTGCTCTCCTGGCTCCTGTGCTTTCCCTCATGCTAGCACTCACCACTTCTCCTGTCCTGGTCTACTTTATGTCTGTTCCTCTTGAGTTTCCCGATTGCAGAATTGGATGTTTGTTTGCATGCCAAAGGCATGGGGGACCAAAGCAGGCCCTCAGTCAGTCGCATGAACGAGTGAATGGCAACTTGTTATCTTGTGCCCCAAACTGCATGGATCACTTTCTTGTTGAATGGCATGCATACATTTGTCCTTAGCCATGTGCTTCTCCCGAGCTGAGATTCTCGGCTGGGCTCACAGGACTGGGCCCTGTTGTTTTCAGAATGCAGCGCTGTTTTGGTGGAATCTCCACAGAAGCGGTGAGGGTGATGGTGACACACTTCATGCTGGCTGTCCTGTACTGGTAGGAGATAAATGGGGTAAGGCCTGCCTTTCTGGGTGCCAGAATATGGTGAGAGATACAGAGAAAGATGAAAATGGGGAGTGGGTAGGAGATAGCACAACCCTTCATTCCAAAGGCTTTGCTCTAAGGCCATGTTATAGTGAAATAATCCATTATCAATGAAGTGTGCTCAACAGAGAGAGAACCAGTAAGGAGTCAGGGTGTTGTCACAGAGCAGATGTCAGAAAGGTTTCTTGACCTGACCAGAGGCGCCTTGAGCACAGTTGAGGACTATGGTGCAGAGATCTTCTCATTCCAGAGAGAGAACCATGAAGTCCCCTCTGTTGCCATTTTGTACCTCAACAGGTGGTCACACAGGAAGCATGGATAAGCAGCAGGAGTCAGAGGTTATGGCTGTGTGTGTGTGTGTGTGTGTGTGTGTGTGTGTGTGTGTGTCCAAGAGAACTTAGCTGTGAAGACAGAAGGGGAAGAGAAAGGGGGCTCTGGGGAGAATGGGGACTGCCTGAATCAGCTGCTCCTTCCTCTCATTGCTCAGGAGTGGCCTCCTGGGCGATATGGATTCTGGCAGGGAGGGTAAGTGAACTTAGTGACCACAGGTTTGACAATTACAGTCAGCAGAGTCTCTTGGAGTTTTCCCAGACAGCAGTATTCACTTCTCTGCTTGAACCGACAGCTGGTAGGCCCTGATGGGGCCAGAGCTAGGCTAGTGAGTGACAGGGTGTAGGTGCTGAGGACTGCTGACCGTCCTCTCTCCCCAGTGATCAGGGGGGTGCACAGCCCTGTGGCCAGCTACCTGCTAAGTCTGTGCTCTCCCGCCTGCTCTCTTCCAGTGGCCAACAAGTGGATACATGAGTATGGACAGGAATTTCGCAGACCTTGCAGCCCCAACCCTGAAGACTGAAGTGTTGGCAGGGAGCCGCTATGAAGTCCTGTGGTTCTCCAGAGATGCCAGGAGCCAAAGCCAGAGTAGGAGAGGAGGCAGGAGAGCTACCTTCCGGGAAGAAGGCCTTATCAGTATTGCTGGTTCCTTGCAAATGGGAGACTACAAGTAGTCTGAACCAGGGGACTCTTGAGAATTGACATTTGTGTCTGCTGGATCTGTGACAGAACTGAATGGATAAAAATGGAGCTGGGTGCTAGTGGCTCATGCCTGTAATCCTAGTTACTCAGGAGGCTGACATATGAGGATCACAGTTCAAAGCCAGCCCGGACAATAACCAACTAACCACCAGAAAACTGGAAATGGTGCTGTAGCTCAAAGTGGTTGAGCACTCACTTAGAGCAAAAGAGCTCAGGGACAGCACCCAGGCCCCAAGTTCAAGCCACATGACAAAAAAAAAGAGAGAGAGAGAGAGAGAGAGAATGGAGGGGCAGATGGCCTGAGAGAAGTTTCTGAAGTTCAGCCAGGATTAGAACATATCTGACAGTAGTCTCTGACCACAGGGACACTTTAGCAGTAGTGAGGATACCTGAAGAAGGGGGCTGGCCCACGGCAGTAAGCCTTTCTCCCTCTGACTTCCCTCAATGCCCCCGCAGGGATTGTCTGACTCAAGAGCTGTACCCCACAGGAGGGGGAGTATGGTGATTTTTTTTTTTAAGTAAAAAGCAACTTAACTTTTCTATGATGATTTTAATAGTCACAAAAAATGTTTACAAATTACTTGAGAATGTTGATGTTGTTAGCGCTGAGTAAAGAAAGGTGAGCCTGGCTCACCTTGCCTTGACTACATACCATCTGCTAACATTCCAGTCCTGAGTCCCTGTGCTTAGCACCCATCATCATGGCTCCTATTCTCGGGCCTTGCTGGCCCAGCCCAGCTCTTCTCTTTCCTTTCTTGGCTCAGTTTCCCTTTAAAGAGGCTTTTCCTGTTCACACCACCAGCTAGCCATTTTCTGTCACTTCAACTGATTTTCACTTTCTTCCTAGCATGTATGGTGAGTTGAAATGACTTATTTGTTCAATTCTTCCCAGTTGCTTCCCTTGCAGAGTGAGAGCTTAGGCCCACCCCCCTCTATTTTCTAAATGCTTCTACTATAGCCATCACACTAAATTTCAGCATGAGTGTATTTGCCAGGCTGCCAGCACCAGACACTGCTCCTCATTCGTCCTGGAATCCCGAGAGTCTGGAGCAAATAAGTAGGCATTCAGCGTTTTTGCAAAGGCGTCCTTCAAGCTGCACTGTGGCGGGAATTTTTTTTTTTTTTTTGTATGAGGAACCTTCCTTGCAGAAGGACAGGTGAGCTATGGCTGCAGTGATGGGTGATGATGATATTTGAGTGCTTGTGCTAAGAGAACAGAGGCCACTCAGCTCAGGTTCCTCCCCAGGGTTGTGGGTGCAGATATCTTGCTCAGGAAGGAGCCACACAGTGAAAGGAATGGGTGGTTTGACTCCTAAGCCGTCTTTGACCACCCCCAGGAAGGACTCTGATGTTCTGATATCTAGCTCCCTCAGAGCCATGATGAACACCTTGTCACGTCCCTGCTAACTATGTTACACATGCCAGGATGTGGGAAATCATACTAAATAACAGCCTTGCTAAATGATTCCACCTGCCTCCTCCAGCCCCAGAAAAATGGAGCTAAGACAGAAAGCTATGGTCTATGGTAAAACCATTCCACTTTAGCAGAAGCTGGATGTCTCAGAATTTCAGGGACAGGCTGAATCAATCGCAGCATTGGCCTGCATGATGAGCACAAGGAGACTGGCATGGCTTGGCTTTACAGACTTTGTGCACTCATTAATGTGCATCCCAATCTGATGGGTTGGATTCAGTTATATCTGGTTTATGATGAGGTAAAGTAAGGTAACTCACCTATGGTCCCACAATATGGTTCCAAACCTTGCGCATTGAACACATGTGCTTTTAACAGTATCTGGGATATGGCAATTATCAAACTTCTTAACCAGATGACTGAGACCCGGGACCATGTAGCTGCAAATGAAGCAAAAACTGCTTACTGAACATTTCTCAGGAGCAGGACTGGGGCTCAGCCAACGCTCTGTGGGCAGAGAGGTGCATTCCCTGGGAGCTAGGCCAGTAGGGGGAATGAGGCAAATATATCCTAAGTTCATTTAAGTACAATGAGAAAATGTGGCACAAAAAAGAGATATGGAATACATGAATGAATTGTGTCAATCCTGCTCATGTACCGCGAACATCTATTGGATGAGGACTTTGGTAGGTGCTTCATGAGAATCCAAGAGAGTGAAGCAGCTGCTTACTGCACTTGAGACCCAGACAGAGAGGGGAATGATGGAGAGGAAGCCTGTGTAGTGCCCATGTGAGGCTTTCACACTGGAGCACCAGGAGAACAATGGGAAGAGGGAAAATGTGTGCCTGAGCAAGACAGGGGCAGGGGCCACCCCAATTTGTCCCCTTTGCATAGGGGGGCAGGAGGGCTGTCTAGGAGGAGGCGGCAAGGCAATGTTGATTCTGGGGACTCCTGTCTAGCACCACCACAGGAAGGACAAACTACCCTTTCATAGCACCACTCAAAGAGCCCCCTGTTTGAGGACCATAGCTACTCAAGGCAGGAAAAACCAAAGGAGCCTCTGTGTAGAGGTGGATGGGGAGAGACAGATGTGTTCATAGCAGAACTATGAAATTAACCAAGGGCTGGGGGAGATGACAGACATTTGTGTTAGTCTTTGCCAGGTATTTAATGTTCATATCTTATTCCCAATCATCATCTCTTCTAAGCAAGAGTAGAAAAACGGGGCTCAAAGGAAATGTATCCTTGATTCCACCCAGCTGAGAGCTGAGCCAATCTGGAGCTTGGGAAGTTCTACCCAAACCCACTCCTCTGTTTCCAGTCCCTTTCTGACCTTGAAATCCCTAGTTGTCTCTTCCTTTTTCCTTTCTCTTACCCCCCCGCTGTAGTCATCTTCAAGTTGCACAGGATCCCTCCCACCCAGAATCTGATCTGCCTGTTTCCCCCTAATATTTGAGTGATAGGAAGCTTCTTGTCTCTGCAAGAAACACACTTGGAGTTAAAATAAGAATCCTGGTGAAATTGAAAGTTCTCTCAAAGGAACAAGGTAGTAAGGCTGGCTTTCAGGCCCTGGGATATCTGGATAGAAGCCTTATGGACCACGTGTTTTGGGGCATGGCTCAGAGAGTCAGATGCTCATAGGCTAAGCTCTACTGTTTCAAGTTCACCACACTTTCAGAGGGAGCAAAGCTGGAAGCCCACCAGGCTCCAATGCATCTGGGGTGAGAGCCTGACACAGGAAATGATTTGCCCATAATTGTGTTGGTGTCAGAGCCAATTAGAGGCAGTTTCCTGGCTCAGAGATCCATGTTCTTTCCAAAGCTCCACAGGTGCTTCTTGGAACGGGAGCACAGTGGGCAAATGGCAGCAACCCTTGTTGGTGTTTCAGCTGGCACAGGCTGTTTGTGGTCCATCATTCATTCAAGGAAGCCAAATAATGGCATGTTTATGGTGCCACAGGGATGCTGTGATAACTGAGACAGAACCACCACCTGACACACAGCTCTTCTCCTGGGTTTTGAATCGGGAGGTCTGGAAGTGGTCACTGAGACAACTACATGTACACAAATGTGTACAACACTATTATTCCCAATAGCTCATAGGTAGGAGCAACCTAAGAGTCACAAAATATGGTGTATGTACAGAGGATTGTTAGCTATAAAAATGATTGTTTTGATATTTGCTACCACAACATAGTCAGACGTTGCAAACATGCTTAATGAAATAAGCCAGACATGAGTATGTATTATCTGATTATACAAGAATTGGCAAATACTTAGTGAAAATAGGTTTTCAGGAACTAGGATAGGAGGAGGAAATGATTGTTTAATGAGTATATTATTTCTGTTGGGAATGATAAAAAAAAGGGTTTGAATATAGATGAGGTGGTGATGTGTGGTACCACAGCATTACTTCCTACTATGGAATTATACACTCTATATGATTAACAACAACGAAACCTTTAAGCCAGGCACCAGCAGCTCACTGGTAGCATGAACCACAGCTACTCAGGATGCTAATATTTGAGAATCAAAGTTCAGAGCCAGTCTAGACAGAAAATTTTTTTTGGGGGGGGTCAGGTCGTGGGGCCTGAATTCTGGGCACAGCTCAAGGCTAGCACTCTATCACTTGAGCCACAAGGCCACTTCCAGCTTTTTTTTTTTTTTTTGCTTATGTGGTGCTGAGGAATCGAACCCAGGGCCTCATGCATGCAAGGCAAGCGCTCTACCACTGAGCCACCTTCCCAGCCCTGGCAGAAATCTTTTATCTTCAGTTGACTAGAAAAAGAGCTAGAACTGGAGACATGGTAGACAGCCATGAGAAAAAAAGCAGAGAGCACAAGGCATGTGCATACATGGACGTGCACACACACACACTTCTGGGCCAGAGGAAGGTTTACAGTACTGAACAGCAGCACTCTGGCCCCAAGTACACATGAAGTTCAACTAACTGCTTGAAAGTAACTCCATCAAGTGAGGGTGCAGACAGGAGACCCTAACAGGCCTTTGATATATGGGATACCTATGAAGATGTATAGCTTTGGATAACGGGCTTTTGCCTTGCTTTCCCCTCGTTTGGTATTCAACAACAATGCCCTTGTCTCAGCACTGAGGCACCTGACACTACAGGAAGCACATTTCCTGTACACCATATATGGACATCTCATTAAACCCTCAGAGCACTGTGAATTAAGTACCCTGTTTTGGAATGAGAACTTGAAGTTCTGGAAGAAGTAATATGCCCAAGGTCTCCTGACTAGTAAAAAAACAAAAAACAAAAAAACATGACTCTGAGTTGGGAATGTCTCCTGTCACCAGGCTTGTCTTCCATGCGCCTGTCCCTTGCCCATCTCTTTCTGTTTATGGCTCAGGACTGATAGGCACACACTGGCCTGGGAATTGTGGCCTTGCTCTAATTCAGAATGTGCTGTTGGGCAGCTTAGGGAAAATCACTTTGTCAGAATTGCCCTTCCCTACTGATCTGCTTGCCCTTGCCAACCCACAAGGTGCAGTGTAGGTGCAGTGTATTAGGGTATCGTCTGTGCTATCAGTTACTATAAGCAGCTCCATCAGTGCCATGCCCATTATTCAGT